AAAAATACTGAATATGCATATATGATATACATATATGTATGGTATACAGTGCAAATGGCATTATGAGGTAGAAATGCAAAAGATGTTTTTTTTAACTACACATTAGTATACGTGGTCAGAGTGGGATAGTGTTCAGTGCCTGAGTTTAGAGTTCAGTAGGCTAACAGCTGAGGGAAAGAAACTGCTCCTGAGTCTGCTGGTGCGACAGCGAAGACTCCTATAACGTCTCCCAGATGGGAGGGGAGTAAACAGCCCGTGGTTGGGGTGAGAGGAGTCTTTGATAATGCTTCTCACCTTCAAAAGGCAGCATTTGTGGTGAATGTCTTTGATGGAGGGTAGCTAAACACCCGTGATGTATTGGGTAGTTTTCACCACCCACTGGAGGGCTTGCTGGGCTGAGACAGTGCAGTTGCCGTACCACACTGTGATGCAGTTTGTTAGGATGCTCTCAATTGTGCAGGAGCAAAAATTCAACAGGATGTGGGGGGGCAGGTGAGCTTTCCTTAGTGTCCTAAGGAAATAAAGGTGCTGTTGTGCATTTTTGATGAGATTGGAGGTATTGAGGGTCCAGGAAAATCCTCAGAGATATGGACACCAAGGAACTTAAAACTAGTCACACGTTCCACTTTGGCTCCATCAATGTAGATGGGAGTGTGGGGGGTGTGTGTAACCTATCCTAGATTGCCGGTGGTCCATAATCAGCTCCTTGGTTTTCTGGGTGTTGTTGAGTGCCAGATTATTGTTGGCACACCACCCTACAAGGTGCTGAACCTCTTCTCTGTAGGCCGTCTCGTTGCTGCTGATAAGGCCTACCTGGTGTCATCTGCAAACTTGATTATGGAGTTAGAGCCATGTACAGGTATGCAGTCGTGGGTAAAGGATTGGGCTTAGCACACAGCCCTGTGGAACACCAGTGTTTAAAATGAGGGTGGAGGAGTTGTGACTGTCAAGCCTAACAGACTGTGATCTGTTAGTGAGAAAGTCTAAGGTCCAGTTGCAGAGGGAGGGGCTGATGTCAAGATCAGTGAGCTAGGAGATCAGCTTGGAAGGGATAACAGTATTAAAGGCAGAACTGAAGTCACTGAATAGCATCCTGACATATGTGTTGCTTTTATCCAAGTGAGTCAATGCGGAGTGGAGAGCTGAAGTAATGGTGTCTTCATTTGACCTGTTGGTTTTATAGGCAAACTGATGTGGGTCCAGTGTTGGGGGCAAGCATGTTTTCAGGTGGGTAAGGACCAGCCTCTCAAAATACTTTGCGATGACGGGAGTAAGAACAACAGGGCAGAAGTCGCCTGAAGTGGCTATACAGTGAGCTGTCGCGCCACATCGAAGAGCATCAAAAAGGCATTTATTGTATGAATTTCCTAAAAAGGTGCCCGAATTTGAAAGAATTTGAATTTGAGACTTAGTTTCTTATAGAAACTAACAACATATAAAACTGTAACGTCATTTGCAGTGCGTCATGGAAGTAGGTAGAAGCTGAAGCTGTGATTTGCTTGTTTCGATTCTCTGATTGGTGGAGAATCTCTGTAGAATCATGGGTAATGTGGACTTTCAGCTGGAATACTGCTGTTTAACTGCAAAATAAGTTGAAATATTGTGGGCCGATGGCTTTAACAAAAGCATATACCATCCATTTACAACCTCGTAGCTCACAGTATGTGTGTCTCAATGGTTTATATTTCACTATGAGGAAAATTAATGGGATTTTTACTTCTGAAACCAGACTGTTGTACTCTATAGCATGTATCTACACAGTTGCTTGTTTGTTATGCATAGTTACTAGGATTTTGCTTACTGGCCAAGTCAAAATTGCTTTAAGTCTGAGCAATAGTAATAGTGATGCTTGCCTTAGCAAACAAAACTGGCTAATAAAGAAAAAAAATTTTTTTCTGGTATTAAAAACCTTCCAAACATCTTCCTCAGGTTGCTTCTCTATCACATTCATCAGTTCCTTCGGTAGCACATGCAAGATGGTGACCACGTGCTGTTTTTCTGTAACCAGGCAGACTTTGGCCCATGCTACTCTGTTTAATGAGTTTCCGTGGTAACACTCACCAAGGCACTGGCAAGTGCGTCGGGCTGATTATAAACACAGATCTGTTGTGAACGAAGGACGTTGGTCTAATTAGTGGTGTTTGCTAAGTACGTCTTTGACAATCACCCACAATAATCATGCCAAATGTTTTGGGGGAATATTCTTAAAGGTGGGGTAAGCGATTTTTCAAAAACGCTTTAGAAAACTGATTCGGGCCGAATAGCAAAACAAACCTGTAGCCAATCAGCAGTAAGGGGCGTGTCTACTCATGATGTGGAGGAGAGAGAGTTCAGTGCACAGGACGGACATTAGCTGAGCCGAGCGACAGAAAGATAGAGATGGCGGATAAAAAACAAAAGAGGAAAACGTCTGCGGAACAAACGAAGGCTTAAGGCAATAAGGCAAGAAGTAGGACCCGTGTAAATATCGGATCAGCTTTCCAGCGCTGGAGAGAACTCAAGGAGCGGAAGGCCTGCGATCGGACACCGAGATTGCTTTGTTTCTTCTAGATAGGTGAGTAACACCGTGTCTCGCGCCGCAACAGCTAAAGTCTGTCTAGTACACTGGACGCGACAAAGCGACCGTTGAAAATCATTTGAAATTTGTGTCAGTTTTTCTCTTTTGTTTTTTATCCGCCATCTCTATCTTTCTGTCGCTCGGCTCGGACTGAACGCTCTCTACTCCATCATGAGTAGACACGCCCCTTACTGCTGATGGGCTACAACTTTGTTTTGCTAGTCGGCCCGAATCAGTTTTCTAAAGCATTTTTGAAAAATCGCTTACCCCACCTTTAAACGATGCTGAAAAGGATAGTCCACCCAAAAATGTTCATTCTGTCATCATTTACTCACCCTCATGTTGTTCAAAACCTGTATGAGTTTCTTTCTTCTGTATTTTAAAGAATGTGGGTAACCAATCAGTTGCCGGTCCCACTGACTGACTTCATTTATACAGGTATGGAACAACATGAGGGTGAGTAAATGATGACAGAAATTTCATTTTTGTGTGAACTATGCCTTTAAGCAGTAACATAGCAGTTTTTCTGTTTGATAAGAGAATTGTGTTGTTTTGTGTCAGATATTGTTTTGTTGGAGTGCTCCCTATTATACCTTGACATTTGTAACTTTTAGAGATTTTAACAACTAAATTTAATTCAACTTAAAATTAGGGTATCTTTAAACTAGATTTGAGTTTTCAGAGGTAAATAGCAGGGCAGCAAAAAATAGCATTTAATTTTTATCAGCTGTGCATGAGAACCAACATATAACATGGCTTTTGTGCCATGCAAGTTACACATCAAATTAAACATGAAATGAAGAAGATTGCATTTGTCTTGTAAAAACTTTATTGTCTTGTAAAACGTACAAATGTACAATAAGCTTTTTTTTTTTGTATCTTCAAAAATTATTTTTTACAGTTTACAAGAAAGAAGACAAATGTCATGTAACATAATATAGGTGTCATCATGACTGTAAATGGTGAAACTTTTAACATTTTAAGATTATCAAACTTTAATCGTAACCCTTTAATGCATAAATCATTGAAGTAAACATATTTTCAATATTTTGTTCAAGTTGTCATAAAAAACAATGACAATGAGGACAGATATATAGAATAATGAATAAGTGTTAAAACAATTTTTTTTTTAAATCACAAAAATCTAACCTTTCATTGGATAATAAGAATTTAAAATGGGGGGAAATATCATTATGTATATAATGTATTATATATAATGTATTTTTTTTCCTGAGCTCAAAAATAAAAAATATATAAATACATCAAAGACAGGACAAATACAATACACACATCAAAGAAACATATAATGTTTGAGGAATATCAATTCAGTGTCAGGTTTGGGTGAAGGGATGAGGCGAGGACTCAATTGCAGGAAGTTTGGGCACTTTATTAGCAAAAATAAAACAAAAACTACCCCGTGGAGGGAAAAAAAACCCCACTACCGGCAGCTTGGTTGGGCAGGGCAGGGCAGGGCAGGGCAGGAACAGGCAAAGTACACAATAGCAAACATTAGACAACGAACTAGCACAGGACTGCAAACACAAAGAGAATAAATAGGGAACAAACAAGGCAGGTAACGAGGGAGGACAGGAGGGGCAAATTAACCAATAATTAAGTAACAAGGTGGGCGGGGTCAAGACAATAGACAGGAGAGCACATGGCACACATAAACAAACAAAACAAAAGCCATGTGCTCACACAAAACATGACAACATGAAAGCACACGACTGAGGAAAACCCAAGCTACACAACACAAGACAGAACATAACATGAAAGCACGCGGCCGATATAAACACGAACTGTGTGCTAAACAGAACACAACGTCACGAGCACGTGGCCAATGAAAACATAAACCAAGTGCTCACAAAACACACGAGATGAGAGCGCATGGTGAGTGAATGAACACACAACCCGTGCGCTCACACAAGAAACAAGACATGGAGCGTGATTGCTCAAACCCCGACAACAGACCGAAACCGAACTAGACATGAGTGGCAGAATGCAAACACCATGCTCTGAACATGAAACAAGGCACGCAGAAAAGAGAGTGCATGGCCCGAGGACAGTCGAGACCGCACGCTCACACAAGAACAATACAGGAGTGTCAGAGCTCTGTCACAAAACCAAGAATAAACTAGACCGAGGTGACAGGACCCTGACATACAGTGCTGCCTTGTAAGCATTGTAAAACAAAAACGGCCTATGAAATATATTCAGAACAGCATGGTCATTACTTTAATTTTGCTCATTATCAGCCAGGCCCAGATTAATTTACCAACCACAGAGGAGATTCCCATATGAATTTGAAAACTATAAATATTATTACACACATAATGGTGAAAGCAACACATGTTAATTAGTGCCACAATGTACAGTCACACGTGTCTGTGTACACCTCAGATTAATAAGAGGCAACCCCCTGTGTCTACATGTCTGTTTGCAGTACCTGCATGAGAATGGTGTAGTGCACAGAGACCTGAAACCTGAGAACCTGCTGTACGCCACCTCAGCGCCAGATGCTCCTCTCAAAATAGGTAAGGCTGGCTTTTCATTCGCCTGATAGGGGAACTGCAGTTTAGCTAAACTTCTCTTGCAGGCGATTTAACTTGCAAACATGATCCTGTTGTACAATAAAGGATCATTCATTTTCAGCTTTAAAGGAGGCACAATCTCGGGCATTATTGGGGCTTGTTCATAGTTTACGGATTTTAACAAACTCCTAAGCTGAAATATTACTTCAAATATAAATATAAATATAACTTAAAAATGTGAAAATGTGACTTAATGTCATGAAAAAAATAAAAATAAATAATATACAGTAATTATAAATTATATATGAATATATACAATATATATATATATATATATATGAAAGAAAGTCTTTGTAAAAGTTTTTAATGTCACTTTTGATCAATTTAATGCAACCTAACTGACTAAAAGTATTAATTAAAAAAAATATTTGTACTGAACCCAAACTTTTTAATGGTAATGTATGTAAATATATTTAGATTATATATTATATTGTAAAAATATTACAGTATATATAATAAACAAAACCAATAAAACAATGTTTAGTTTTAACCTTATACTTCACTTTAATTTAAAATAATTTAATTTAAAATAATTCATTACACTTATAAAAATGAAATGTTCTTGCATTACGGTAATAAGAATTGGGGACATGGTTAATTTTCGCTTAGCAAAATATAAAAAAAAAATAATAATAATAATTTAATTTTCGTAAAATATGAACAGCTCTCGACACGCCATGAGATATACCCCCACAGACTTCCACTGAAGAAGGGACTAGAGCCGTATCTGGGGACCAGAATATCATAGGGACTTGAGCAAACACCTACTGTAGCAACCACCCAGAACACCCCATCAGCTGCTTAGCGATGCTCTACTACGTCTGAGTTTTGTATTAGTAAGCACCTTCTCAGAAAATGTAAAAACTGTTTTTATTTTGTGGGTTTTATCTTTACAGCTGATTTTGGTTTGTCGAAAATTGTAGACGATCAGGTAACAATGAAGACTGTGTGTGGGACTCCAGGCTATTGTGGTGAGTTCATTAATGAGGAGGTTTTTTTTAACAGAGCACCATCTGTGGCTTCAGTTGCACAAAGAGAATTACAGAAAAGATGTAGTCTTTTTACAGCATCAGTGCAGTAGAGCGTCACCACCCCCCTTTATTCTTGTCTTCTGATGTTTTGTCTTCCTTGTCTCTCAGCTCCTGAGATTTTGCGGGGATGTGCCTATGGCCCTGAGGTTGACATGTGGTCTGTGGGAGTAATCACGTACATTTTGTGAGTGACACAACATACTTGTCTAAAGTTATTCTTTCACAAGAATGCTGTGTTTAGTCATTCGATCTCTCTGTATCAATCCCGAAACGCTGGTTTCATCTCAGATCAGCCTCACTGGTGAAAAGTGTGAAGCATGTTTTGAACTTCTGAGTGTGATTCCAGGAATTGGATGAAGTTTCTTAAAAAAAACAAAAAAGGACTAAGAAAGTTTGACAAAAAGCAAAATTAAAACTTCTTTAAAAATCTGTGATCATGAAATGTTGTTTAAAACCCATTTCACCCATTTGTAAGGAACTGACTGACATTTGGGTCACAGGAATAAATTACATTTTGCAATATATTAAGGAAAACAGGTCTTTTAAGTTGTAGTAATATTTTACAATATTACTGTTTTTACTGTATTTGTGATCAAATAAATGCAGCCTTGGTAAGCATAAGAGACTTCTCTCAGAAACATTAAAAAACTAAACCTTTGGAAATGAGTTCAGTGTCACTTTGTAGAGGTGCTGTTAAAACTAACATTGTTTTTGTTTCTGTTCTCTGTACAGGTTATGTGGTTTTGAGCCCTTTTTTGATGACAGAGGAGACCAGTACATGTTTAAACGCATCCTGAACTGTGAATATGAATTTGTCTCCCCCTGGTGGGACAATGTGTCTCTCAATGCCAAGGACCTTGTGAGTAAATCTCAATATATATAAATTCACTAATAACCCTCATGAAATCCCTAAGTATAAAAACATCACACACACACACACACACACACACACACTTACATTAAGAGACTTCTCTCAGAAACATTAAAAAACTAAACGATCTTAAAAGCAAAGTTGCACAAATTAGAAGCACAGCAGCAGTGATGCTGTAAAATCTTTACCATTAAGGACACACAGTCATAAGATATAAACACTTGTAGTTTGCAATAACTCTATAAAGTCATTTCTTATTCAATATGTGTAACATTGATCATTATATATAATATAAGAATAGTTAGTATTTTGCTGCATGTATTATGTACAAATAATAATTATAATGAATATACTGTATCTATTGCTTATTGTAATATTAATATTATATAT